AGAGTGGGGGAGGAAGGCAATATACGTAACCTTAATATTTGTACCCCCACATATGCTGAAATGAAAATAAAGAGAGAAAAATATATATTAAAATATTGATATTTTTAAAAAGTCTATATTCTAAAATACTTGCATATTAACATGCCCACGTCCTGACTTGGTTACTTAGCACGAAGTGTCTCATTTAACCTTAGCACACACGGCAGAAATATCCACGCAGCCTCTTAGTCCTCCTGCAGAGCTGGGGCACGCTCTATTATTTATTTATATTTATTGAGACAGAGTCTCGCTCTGTCGCCCAGGCTAGAGTGAGTGCCGTGGCGTCAGCCTCGCTCACAGCAACCTCCAACTCCTGGGCTCAAGCCATCCTCCTGCCTCAGCCTCCCGAGTAGCTGGGACTACAGGCATGCGCCACCAGCCCGCTTATTTTTTCTATAGTATATATATTAGTTGGCCAATTAATTTCTTTCTATTTATAGTAGAGATGGGGGGGGGTCCTCACTCTTGCTCAGGCTGGTCTAGAACTCCTGATCGAGCGATCCTCCCGCCTCGGCCTCCCAGAGTGCCGGGATGACAGGCGTGAGCCACCAGGCCCTTATCATTATTTTATGAGTGAGCCTTTGAGAAGTCCCAACATCTACAAGTTATAAAAAAAAAAAAAAAAAGTCACTGTCGGGAAGTAGCCTAACAATGTTAGCTTCGGGAAGCGTGAGCTCGAAACTCACATTCTTCACCTTCCTACACCTACACTTCTCTGTCTCTCTTCGCCCAGTAGACGTTTTATTCGAGAATGGCTGAACTAACACTTTTGTGTAGGGCTTACATTTTCCGGCAAGATAGATTCGCCTTGGCAAGATAGATTCGCCTTCGGGGCTGGCTCAGTTGTGTGAGTCCCCAAAGAATTCCATGGTGCATTGTGAGCCTCCCGAAAGACATCTCTGGAATTTCACAGGACTTGTCTTCAGTGTCACCCACAGCAATTTAGAAGTTAAATGCCAAGTCTGTGATACGATTGGGCTTTTAACATAGTTTTTAAAAAGTAGGTTTATTTTTTCCAAAGCATTGTCTTAACCCAACTATTTGGTCCACATTATTTCGATTTTTTTTTTAAATTATTGCATTTTATTCCTCGTGACTCTTTTATGACTTGGCGATGTGGGTCTATTCTGTCCCTAGCTTCAAGGAGTTCAGAGTTTGTAGCGAACCACATCTTAAAGGGATTTGAGATGCTGATGACTGACACTGTGCTAATATGTACTGAGGCACAATTCAGTTTGCAGCAATTAAGATCAATAATAAGCTAGCATCTTTTTATAACTGTTTTCTACATCTAATAAAGAAAAAAACGTAAAAGCGAGCTTCGCAAAACACCACCCATGAAAGAGCATCCTACCAGAGAATTCACCAGTCAGCCCGATACCTTAAGGCTTATGTTCTTGTAAACTATCAAGACCTAATGAGGTTTTTGTTGTTTTTTTTTTAAAAGAAAAACAACTCTTTTTTTTTTTTTTAAATCTGCCTTTAAAAATGTAGTATCATTTTAGCCAAACAGATTCTGGATTTCCTAAGAGTTTAATGGGAAGTTATTTTTAAAAAATGATGCTACTGCTGCTAGTCCTAATAAGAACGTCCAAATTTGGAAAAGCATTTCTTTAAGTCTTGAGAATGTATTTCCCAGGCCTCGCAATCCATTGGGGAAGATCTTACCATGAGATTCTTGAACTCCCTATATTGGATCACTATAGATATCTTTCATTTTATTGTTATCAATGCCCATTGATCCGTTCAATAAAGACATGCACCAGCCACACTGGGGATGAGTGTCGTGACTGTGGGTTGGGACACAGCTACCCGGCCGGGATGGTGGCCATGCCCAGGGCTGTCTCAGCCCCTCCTGCCAGACTGGTCCCTGTCCCTCCCTCACCTTTACTAGCCCCCCTCTGCGGCCACTTCATGGGCTTCACCGAAAAAGAAATGCAAAACCTTCCAAAGCTCAGGTGCTTTTTAAATAAGAACATATTTTATACATATAGTGCATTGTATCCAATTAATATTCTCATATCATTTTTTTTTTTTGAGACACAGTCTCACTCTGTTGTCCAGGCTAGAGTGAGTGCCATGGTGTCAGCCTAGCTCACAGCAACCTCAAACTCCTGGGCTCAAGTGATCCTCCTGCCTCCTGCCTGTAGTCCCAGCTACGCGGGAGGCTGAGGCAGGAGGATTGCTTGAACCCAGGAACCCAGGAGGCTGAGGTTGCTGTGAGCTAGGCTGACGCCATGGCACTCACTCTAGCCTGGGCAACAAAGTGAGACTCTGTCTCAAAAAAAAAAAAAAAAAAAAAGAGGCCGGGCGGGGTGGCTCACGCCTGTCATCCTAGCTCTCTGGGAGGCCGAGGCGAGCGGATTGCTCGAGGTCAGGAGTTCGAAACCAGCCTGAGCAAGAGTGAGACCCCGTCTCTACTATAAATAGAAAGAAATTAATTGGCCAACTGATATATATACAAAAAATTAGCCGGGCATGGTGGCGCATGCCTGTAGTCCCAGCTACTTGGGGAGGCTGAGGCAGGAGGATCGCTTGAGCCAGGAGTCTGAGGTTGCTGTGAGCCAGGCTGATGCCACGGCACTCACTCTAGCCTGGGCAACAAAGCGAGACTCTGTCTCAAAAAAACAAAACAAAAAAGGAAATCTAATGAGAGGAGACTCAGGAAATAAGCGTACCATAAAATGATCGGGGCTACTGCTCAATAAAAATTAGCCGGGCATGGTGGCGCATGCCTGTAGTCCCTGCTACTTGGGAGGCTGAGGCAGGAGGATCGCTCGAGCCCAGGAGTCTGAGGTTGCTGTGAGCCAGGCTGATGCCACGGCGCTCACTCTAGCCTGGGCAACAAAGCGAGACTCTGTCTCAAAAAAACAAAACAAAAAAGGAAATCTAATGAGAGGAGACTCAGGAAATAAGCGTACCATAAAATGATCGGGGCTACTGCTCAATAAAAGGCTGCCGTCGGTCGGTAACACCAGATTCCTGTGCATTGTCTACAACACTCTTTAGGCCAAACCGACTCATTTATTCGCCAGGTAGTCTGGGGATGCCCGCTGCGTGCAAAGGCAATGCAGAGAGAGAACTGGGAAGGCTGTAAAGCCCTCGTTCTCAAGCTACAAGGCACAAAGAATAACACTCTAGAAGAAAAGGCAAGGATTATAGGGCCATAGGGTTCCCAGGAAGGGAAGAGGCCTTCAGCTCTGGGAACCAGGCAGAGCAAACGTGCGTTCGCTATAACTCAAAATGCTTTCTGCAGGGCAGACCCTTGGTAGAATCCCAATCAGTCGCTTTCCTGAATCCCTGTTGTCTTATCCGTCTGAGCTGTCCGATTATAAGTTACATTTTCTAGGTAGTTTATAGACAGGTTAAAGATATCTCAAAGACACAATCTTTTCTGTTCTTATTTACTGGAGTATCTAAAGTACGGTGTAAGATCAAGTGCTCGGTAAATATTCCCGGAAATGAGACAGGGTCTTCTATTTATTCTTCCTCAAGAAGACACCTTGGGGCTTATTTTCAGGGCATGTGTTATTTTTCCCTCCAAGCCTCAGCTTGCAGCATGCACAGGATGGCCAGGACCTGAGGGGGGGAGCCAACCTTGTTGGTGGGGCTGCCCGCACCTTTCCGGTCACCTCTGGGATAGTAGCTGTCACGATGGGGCAGATGAGAAGGGCTGCTCGTGTTCTTTCCCGCTCCGCGACGACACGCATGGGTTGTGCAGATGCGCTGCGCAGCCACGCCCATCACTAGGGCTGATTTTCATAGCCACGCCCACCACTAGGGCTGATTTCCATAGCCACGCCCACCACTAGGGCTGATTTTCGGGGTAGGGCTTCTATGGTGCAAATGCTTAGAAACCCTGCTAGGACTTGTTTCATGGGTAGGGCTTATTTTGGGGGAAACACGGTATTGATAAAAAATGATTGGTTCACATATGTGTTTTATCTTTGCAGAGTTGCACAATCCCAGCAGGCATATAGCTCTGTTGCAAATGTGTTGCTAATTCTATTTTCCAGATAGACTTAGAGTTGCTACCCTGTTTCTTTTTGTTTGTTTCTTTGAAACAGAGTCTCACTCTGTTGCCCAGGCTAGAGTGAGTGCCGTGGCCTCAGCCTAGCTCACAGCAACCTCCAACTCCTGGGCTCAAGCGATCCTCCCGCCTCAGCCTCCCAAGTAGCTGGGACCACAGGCATGCGCCACCACGCCCGGCTCATTTTTTCTCTATGTATTTTTAGTTGGCCAATTCATTTCTTTCTATTTTTAGGCGAGATGGGGGAGCTCGCTCTTGCTCAGACTGGTTTTGAACTCCTGACCTTGAGCGATCCTCCCACCTCGGCCTCCCAGAGTGCTAGGATGACAAGCCTGAGCCACAGCGCCCGGCCTATCTCTCTCTCTATTTTTTTAATTTGGCCCTTCTTTTTTTTTTTTTTCCCTGATTAGAATTGAGAGCTTTCCCCCCACCCCCGAATAGAGTCATGCAAACTGACCCTTTAGGTTTGTCGAGTGAACAATTTAGGAAGGGACCCCCCCAAACCCAGAGATGGACCACACCCCGAAGCCTGCGCGCCCCGGGCGCCCCGGGCCCCTGTCCCGCAGGCCCAGCGCGCCTGTCCTCTGTCCCCAGGGCGCGGCAGCGACTCGGAGCCGGACCTGCCGCACCTGCGCAAGCTGCCGGACGTGAAGAAGGACGACATGTCGGCGCGGCGCGCGGCCCATGGTGAGCCCCGGGCGGCCGTGCCTTTCAACCAGTACCTGCCCAACAAGAGCAACCAGACGGCCTACGTGCCTGCGCCGCTGCGCAGGAAGCGGGCCGAGCGGGAGGACCACCGCCGGAGCTGGAGCACCGCCACCTCCCCGCTGGGGGCGGACAGGCCCTGCAGGTGAGGCCGGGCAGGTGAGGCGGGGCGTTGCGCGCGGTGCAGGAGGCTCTGCGGCTCCCGTGGGGGCGCGTGCCAGGTGCGAGGGCCCCCGTGCACTACCTCTGCTGGGAGGTCGCAGGTGAGGTGGGCAGGTGAGGCGGGGCGTTGTGCGCGCGCGGTGCAGGAGGCTCTGCGGCTCCCGTGGGGGGCGTGCGCCAGGTGCGAGAGGCCCGTGCACAACCTCTGCTGGGAGGTCGCAGGTGAGGCTGGGCAGGTGAGGCTCTGCAGGTGAGGCGGGCAGGTGAGGCCGGGCATTGCACGCGGTGCAGGAGGCTCTGCGGCTCCCGTGGGGGGGCTCGCCAGGTGCGAGGGGCCCCGTGCACAACCTCTGCTGGAAGGTCGCAAGTGGAGGCGGGCAGGTGAGGCTGGGCAGGTGAGGCCCGGCAGGTGAGGCCAGGCGTTGCCCGCGGTGCAGGAGGCGCTGCGGCTTCCCCGGGGGCGCGTGCCAAGTGTGAGGGGCCCCATGCACACCCTCTGCTGGGAGGTCGCAGGTGAGGCTGGGCAGGTGAGGTCAGGCAGGTGAGGCCAGGCGTTGCACGGGGTGCAGGAGGCTCTGCGGCTCCCAGGGGTGAGCTTGAGAAGTGAGGGGCCCCATGCACAACCTCTGCTGGGAGGTCGCAGGTGGAGCCGGGCAGGTGAGGCCAGGCAGGTGAGGCCAGGCAAGTGAAGCCGGGCAGGTAACGCCAAGCGTTGCGCGCGGTGCAAGAGGCTCTGCGGCTTCCCTGGGGGTAGGCGCCAGGTGCGAGGGGCCCCATGCACAACCTCTGCTGTTGAGGTCACAGGTGGAGCCGGGCAGGGCTGATCCAGAGATAAAGAGAGGCTGTCAGGCGAGAGTGAATCTAGAACGGAGCCTGGCACATGGTAGGCACCCAACAAGTGCTTGTTGAACAAGCAGGTTTTTATTTATTTATTTATAGTTTGAGACAGAGCCTCCCTCTGTTGCCCGGGCTAGAGTGCCGTGGTGTCAGCCTCGCTCACAGCAACCTCAACCTCCTGGGCTCAAGCAGTCCTCCCACCTCAGCCTCCCCAGGAGCTGGGACTACAGGCATGCACCACCATGCCTGGCTAATTTTTTCTATGTGTGTATTTTTAGTTAGCTAGCTAATTTCTTTTCTATTTTTTTTTTTTATTAGAGACAGGGAGTCTCGCTCTTGTTCAGGCTGGTCTTGAACTCCTGAGCTCAAGTGATCCTCCAGCCTCGGCCTCCCAGAGTAGCTGGGACTACAGGCATGCGCCACTGTGCTCAGCTCACTTTTTCTGTATGTTTTTAGTTGTCCAGCTGATTTCTTTCTATTTTTAGTAGAGAGGGGGGGTCTCGCTCTTGCTCAGGCTGGTCTCGAACTCCCGAGCTCCAACGATCCTCCCGCCTCGGCCTCCCAGAGTGCTAGGATGACAGGCGTGAGCCACCGCGCCCGGCCTGTGACTTTTTATTTACTTTTTTAAGCGAAAGGGACTATCAGAACAGTGGGGAGGTGGCAGATGGAGCCCAGCCCGTTAGTCTGGTAACCCGTGTTGTCCGACTCACTAGCTATCCCGAAACGATAGAGGAGGAGGGGAGTGAAGTGGGGTCTCCCGGTGAAGAGGACCCGGCAGGCCGAGTGCATCCTGGCGGGGAGCCTGCTGCCCACGGTGGTGGGGTAGAGCTCCCCGGCGGCGGAGGTGAGGAGCCCCCTTCTTCGGATTGGGCTGGGCTGGCCCCGGCTCCCAAGTCTGCAGAGAAAGACACTGCTGACATCCAAAAGCGCAGCAGGCTGGAGCAAGCTGGGATCAAGATCCGGTCGGCAGCCCGGCGCTTTGCCAGGTCAGCTCTGCCCGCCCCGGGCGGGCCTGGCCGGCTCTCTGCATGCCTGGGGCTTTGGCATCCGTCTAGAGAGCTGGAGTTTGCCTCTCCTTTCCCCACTTCCTGCTTTTCCTAGTCCGCTGCTCTGAGCGCATAGAGATAGAAATTAGTCTTTGCCTTGGGGCATGTCTCCGCTTAAGCACCCGGTTATTTTAAATGGACGTGGCCCTTGTCCTCAGGGATGTGTTGCCAGCAATGGCATTTTGTTTTTCCGGTGTTTGCGGCTTGTTGTACCTTTTCACGCCGCTCCTAAATGGCTCCTATCTTTATCTTGCTGGACACATCACTAGAAAATAGTTTCTTTGAAACGGGGAACTCACTTCTTTAGAGAGTGGCCCGGCTTACAAAGAAATCCGCTTAATTACTCTCTTCGTCCCAAGAGAGTACCCCGTTTATATGACTCCTTGTTTTCTAAAGCGTGTGGATTCAGAAACAAAGGATGGAGTGATCACTTCTCTTAATTGTAACAAAGACGCCGCCGGTGTGCAGCCCTGGTGGCTTGGTATCGCATGTGGGTTGGGGACCTTCAACAACAAGGCCACGGTTTTCTGCGGAATTTTTAGAAGCTGGTTAATTTAATTTTTCTTGCGTAATAAGAACAACGATTCTGACAGATAATGAGGCAGCCAAAATTTACTCGACGAACCGACTCTCCCAACCATTCGACAATCGAAATTCCTTTGCCGCTTGCTGTTCCGTTTAATTCTAAGAGGTAGGTGACATAACTCTTTTTCCGGAAAAGGAAAGAGAAGCAGGGGCAGTATGCGTGGCAGAGCTGGTCACCCACCGCTGGCCTGGTGGCCGGATTCTGCCGATCCCACCACGGCCCACGTCTGCCTCCTGCTCATGTCATGGAGCGTTCTCCGTTTCTCTGTTTCTCAACTCCATATGTGGTCCTCTCGGGGGTCCAGGTCTTCATTAAAATATCCAGCATTGACTTCTATGGGTTTAATCCTAGGGTAGCTTTGTATTGATTAAAAAAAAAAAAATCCCACAGATAATCATGCCTTTTCCTAAACATGTATGTGCTCCTGGGAAATCCTAACATAAAACCAGGCTTGGGTTATAAGAAGCTCTCTGGGTTTCTGAAATAATGAAGAGTAATGTCATAGAATCTTCAAAGAACACAGATATTCTCTTATAAATTTTTTTTTAATTTTTAATTATGGGTACATAATAGTTGTATATTTTATTAGGGTATATGTGATGTTTTGATACAGGCATATAGTGTGCATTAATCAAATTAGGGTGACTGGGGTTATCCAGTCAAGCATTTATCATTTCTTTGTGTTGGAAACATTCTAATTCCACTCTTTTAGTTATTTTAAAATATATCATAAGTTATGGTTATCATAAGCTATTGTCACTTCGTTCTGCTATCAAATATTGTTCACTCTATTTTTGTACCCATTAACCATCCCAATTTTATACTCCCCTCCCTGCTCCTGATAATCATCATCTTACTCTCTGTCTCCATGAGGTCAATTGTTTTAATATTAAATATTTAATATTAAATGAAATTATTTCAATTTTAATATTTAGCCTCCCACTTATGAGTGAAAGAGCATGCCAGATTTGCCTTTCTGTGCTTGGCTAGTTTCACGAAACGTAATCTTCTCCAGTTCCATTCACGTTGTGGCAAATAGTAAGAATCCGTTCTTTTTCGTGGGTGAATAATGTTCCATCGCGAGTACATAAATTACAATTTCGTTATCCATTCATCCATCTATGGACACTTAGGTCGATTCTGGTCTTGGCTGTTGTGAATAGTGCTGCAATAAACATGGGAATGCAGATACCTTTTCATTATACTGATTTCCCTTCTTTTGGATGTATACCTAGCAGAGGGATGGCTGGGTCCTATGGTAGTTCTATTTTTAGTTATTTTGAGGAACTTCCATGCTGTTCCCCATAGTGGTTGCACTAATTTACATTTCCACCAACAACCCACAAGGGTTCCCCTTTCTCCACATCCTCACTGGCATCTGTCATTGCCTATCTTTTTGACAAAAGCCATTTTAACTGGGGTGAGATAATATATCACGGAAGTTTTGATTTGCATTTTTTCTGATGACTAATGATGCGATCTGAATAGACATTTCTCAAAAGAAAACATACAAATGGCCAACAAGTATTGAAAAAAATGTTCAGCA